CCTTTTGGTTTTTCATTCTTTAGAGCTGTGTATGCAATAGGTGTTTCATAAATGTGCTTGATTGACCGATGACCACTGTTTCCATCTGACCACATTTTTGGTGCTTACACCCAGGCCTTTTTTTAAAAGAAAAACAGATTTTTGATTTTAATGTTTCTTTCTTTCTTAAAATATCTTATTTATTTATTAGAGAGAGAGCATGTGAGTGGGGAAGGGGCAGAGGGAGAGGGAGACAGAATCCCCAGCAAACTCCCTGTTGAGGGCGGAGCCCAACGCAGGGTTCGATCCCACAACCCTGAGATTCTGACCTGTTCCTAAACGAAGAGTCAGATGCTCAACTGACTGAGCCACCCAGGTGCCCCTCTTTTTTTTTTTTTTTTTCTGTAAGTAGGCTCTAAACCCAACATGGGGCTTGAATGCTCTACCGGCTGAGCCAGCCAGGACCCCAGCCACCAGGTCTTTTTATTCTGTCTGGCCCACCTTCTTGCTATGTGGACAAGAGAACTCTGTGCTCTAGCCAGGCCATGCTTTGCACCACTCTCCATGGGTTGGCCACGGTGACCTGTCCTTAGGACATCCTTTTGTTCGTTCCTATCTGGAAAACCCCTATTCATCCTTTACAACTCTGCTTAAGTACGAAGCCTTTCCTGATTTGTCTGGTTAGTGTCTATCCTCAATCTCCTGTGATCCCCAGGTTGAGGGGCTTTCCCCCCTTACGCTGTAATTACTTACTCTCATGCTGTTGTCCCTATCAGATATAGCTTCCAGATTCAGCTTCTTGATTCTGGGGCTCTGGTGTCTCACTGGCCTGCACAGAAGGTGCTCAAGGAGTATTTGTAAAAGGGGGAGTCGGGGCATTAACTGGTGAGATGGTCTGGAGTCTGAATGACTCCGTGAAAGGAACATGTGGGAAATTTCCAATTTGATTTGGCAGAAGATTATTTTTCCTTAAAGCTTTTTTGCCTGACATTTTTTTTATCATGAAAAATTTCAAACATACAGAAAAAATAGAAAGGATTTTTACCATGTACATCTATGTACCTACCACTTAGATTATATCACTAACGTTTTGCTCTTCTTGCTTTATGACCTCTCTTTCTACCTATCCGTCCTTCTGTCCATCTGTCAGTCATCTTATAATTTGATAACGTGTCAAGTAGATGGCAGACATCAATACATTTCCTCCTAAATACTTAAGCGTGCATACTACCTTTTTAGGATTTTAAACTAAAGCCATAGTCCTTGCTCAGAAATCTGAAGTTGAAATCCTAAATATCCATTCTTTGTAATAATAATAATGATAATTATTCTTGGAGCACGTTTATGACATACAAAGTGATTTCGTAGGCATTTGCTATATATGATGACTTTAAAAGGGAGATCTCACTCTCGATGTTTTCCAGTTGAGACGACTGAAATTTGGAGCGAGAGTTCCTAAAAAGTCGCTGCCAGTCAATGGCATTCGTGCACACCGTCCTCGGAGGCTCACTGCGCAGTTGCTGCATGCCAGCCCCATCCTGACTGCTAGGACGGGGCGGAAGAGAACCAGGCAGCAACTCTGCCCCCACAATGGTGCCCAGCTTCATGCAGAAGACACTCAACCCTTCCCATAGTGTAGGGCAGCTGAGAAGGAGGATTGGGGCAAGTGGACCCAGGACTTCCGTCTCCAAACCCAGATACTTCCCTTGGTATTTCCCCATGGTCTTCTGGAGGATGAGACAAGGAGGGAGGGCTCTTCTGACCCAGGAAGTCTAAGCCAGAGAAAGACTTTATTGTGACTCATCTTCCTGTCCTCATTCTACCTGCCCCCTGTGGGTCAGTTTCCTTTGATTTCCCGGGCCTTTGTATATGCTGCTTTGGTGGGAGATTTAGGGGTTTGGACTGGAAGAGGGAACCCTTAGGAAGCTCAGCACGGAGTCCCCTCCCTCCACAATCCCACTACACATTTACTGTGGAAGTACGGTGACTGCTGTAGACACAAGATGACACAAAGGAAATATGGGGTCTTAAGCTCCAAGGGAAGGCAGAGAAGAGAGGAGATCATATTTTTACCCTTCCTTCCTTCCTTCCTTCCTTCCATCCATCCTCCTTTATTTTTGGCAGGAGTGGGTGGGGATAGAGGCTTTAGCTTACTTCCAGGCTGATGGGCAAGGAAGAAGTAGGTGCTTCAGTTGCAGGGTAGTGGAACCCACCTCTTGTTCAGGCTGGAGGGGCAGTTTCCCAAGTGCAGAAAAAGGTTGACCTTCGATGAAGGCAGGAGGTGGGAAAGGCATAGAGGTTGATGAGCCGGTTAAAGGTAAGCCAACAATTTCTAGGGGGCAGTGGTTTTTGCTCAGAAAGTCCTAGGCAAATGGAGCAGAGGGGAGGAATTGATTTAGAATCAGGCCCATGACAGAGGGCTCGGCAAGGTGCTGTGCGAGCATGGTGTGCAGAGAGAGGAGCCACAGTCTGCATGGGAAGATGGTGCAGAGATGACAGTGTCCCAGGCTGCCGGCCTGGGCATGGACAGATGACAAGCCTGGCCAGCTGGGGGTGGCTGAGCAGTGGGAGGGTGGGGCACAGCAGAGGGTGTGGCAAGAGATGGAGCGAGATGGATAGGCACAGCAGGATTGCGGCGTCCTAATGTAGGAGTTTGCAAAGAGATACCTGTGATTCAAGCAGCCCACAAGCTGTCCTCAGAGTGCTGTCCACACAGAAGGAGGTCTTTGGAAAGGGCCACTGGGAAGATGTAATATTGGGGTGGAACTTGGTTTTGCCTCTTCGTGTCTGAAATGAAGGGACCTTAAAGGGTGATGATACTTTACGGTAGACCCTAAAAAAATGGGCTCTGAGTCGAAGAGGAGATGGGTCTGTTGGTTGGCTGGGGCTGGCTGGTCTGGGATGGTCTTGGATGCGACAACTAGATGCTCTTCCACAGGGACTCACCCCTCAGTAGTCTAGCCCCGGCTTATTCTCACTGAAGAGGCAGAGGTTTCAGAGAGGACGTGTACGAGGCCTGTGGCAGCCTAGGCTCAGAGTGGCACATCCTGACTTCTTCCACATTCTGTTGGCCTAGGCAAGCTGTAAGTCCAGCCCAGATTGAAGGGCAAGGGGAAGCTGACTCTATCTCTGGTTGGGGAAACTGCCGAGTCACAACGCAAAGGGCTCAGATACATGGAGAAGTGGAGACTGGGATCCCTTTCACCTTCTGTCTACGCCAGGAGCCAAACAGGATTGCATCTCCAGCCCAGCTGGTCCCGGTCGTGTTCTTTCCAGGAGCGTTCACTTTTTCCAGGGAGGAGAACATGTTTAGGACAGAGAGAAGAGCCGGAGCAAAGGACAGGGAGCATAAAAAGCTCAGGATGTCCGGAAAAGACGAGATGGTTCATTTTGGATGATGCGTGGAGTGTGTACAGGGAGAACAGCTGAGAAGAGGGCAGATGGGACTGGCTAGGTCAGTCGTCAGGGACTTGGAATGCACAGCTAAACTGTTTGGACTTTATCCTGCCTGCAAAGAGCCACAGGAGGATTTCTTTAAAAGTCAGATTTACAATAGTATAACCACGTACAGTAAAATTCACTCTTTATAGGAATATAATTCCGTGAGTTTTGACAAATGCTTGTGATCATGTAATGACCAAGGTGGGCGAGATGTAGAATATTACCATCGCCCCGTAGGGCTTCCTTGTGCCGTTCGTAGTCAATCTCCTCCCTGTCCCCCAGCCTCTGGCAACTACTACCAGGACTTCTTCCCTGGAGTTTTGCCTTTTCCAGAATGTTGTGTAACTGGAATCGTGCCATAGGTACATACTTGTGTATCTTTTCTTTTGTTTTATGTGGCACTCTTGGGGTTCACCCGTGTAGTTGCGTGTAGCAGTAGTTCCCTTTGAATGCGGAGTTGTGTTCCACTGTATGGACGCACTGCAGGTTTTTGTTTTTGTTTTTTGTTTTTTGTTTTTAAAATACATTTCCAAGGTGAGGGCCATCTGGATTATTTCCAGTTTGGGCCATTTTGAATGAAACTGCTTCAAACAGTCACATGCTGGTCTTTGGGTAGACACCTGCTTTGGTTTCTTCTTGGCAAATATCTACCATAGTGTGTCAAGGTCAGGTGGTATGTGTAACTTTATAAGAAACTGACAAACTGTTTCCCGAAGTGGCTGTACTGTTCCGTATCCTGTCAGCCGTGTGTGTGGGCTCTCCTTGCTTCATACCCTTGTCAGTTTACATGGAAGTCAGACAATAAACAAACACATAAATGTGTATCACGCAATGGCTGCTAGATGCAGTCAGATACACAAAGTGTTCTTGAAATGCCATCTTCCAGATGGCTCTGGGGATGGAACCAGAGTCTCCAGGGGTTCCCTTTGGAGGAAAGAATCAGAACTGTGCAAGGGACACTAGACTGAGGTTAGGGGCTCTGGGCTGGAATTCTGGCCCTGATTCTGGCCACCACGGTAACCTCAAGCCAGTTCTTGCCTCTCTCGGACCCTCAGTCTCCCTCTCAGGGTGGACTAGACGATCTTTTTTTTTTTTTTTTTTTTAAGATTTTATATATTTATTTGACAGAGAGAGAGCACAAGCATGGGGAGAGGCAGGCAGAGGGAGAGGGAGAGGGAGAAGCAGTTCTCTGCTGAGTTGGGAGCCTGATGTGGGGCTTGATCCCAAGACCCTGGGATCATGACCTGAGCCGAAGGCAGATGCTTAACCTACTGAGCCACCCAGGTGCCCCTAGATGATCTTTCAAGTGCTAGGATTTTGTACTTAAAGTTCTTATAAACCAACTTGGAGGCTCTGATGAACAAAAGTAGGTGCAAAGGAAAGGAATCTCCTTTTCAGAACCAGGCTGTTTTGTTGCCGGAGGTCAGCCATTTTGTCCTCTTACCCATATAGGATCCCTTGGGAAGCACAGCCAGCAGGTACCTGTTCCTCGCATCCCCCAACCCCGGGTGCCTCTCCAGGGATGGGGGCTCAGTCCTTCCAAGGGACCAGTTTCATTTTCTCTTTCTGTCTTTTTAAAGGGAAAGGATTACACCTTTTACTAAGGGGAAGTGCCCTCCAACAGTGGATTACAATTCAGATCCTACTCCTTAAAGCTGCATATGAAGGACAGCCTGTGGTGACCAGAGGGCCCAAAGGCCTGAAGACAAATTTGGGATGGGAGGTAGAAGTGGGAATCAGGAGGGTGGGGAAGGTCTTAGAGAAAGGACACATGGGAATGCCTGGGAGAGGGAGGGATACGGTGGGATCACTTTTGCTGGAGACATCCACCTGGAGGTCATGATGTCTGCTAAGACAGCTGGGGCCAGATACTTTTGATAAGGAAGATCAGCTATCTTTAGAATTCAGATTAGCCAGTGGCACAAACATGGGAGCAGATGGACTAATGGAACTTCTTCTATTCTAAGGCCAAATTGCTTGACTCCCTGATCATTAAAATCCAAAAAGAGAAAGAAAAGTGTAACATATGTCAGAAGACAACTGTAGGCCCCTTTTGGGAACTCTCCATCTCCATCCAGGATGCTTCTGGAAGCCCAGCAGGGCCTAACACTATTATGAGGAGGTTGCTGGCCCCCAGGCCATGTGCAGCCATTGGAGGCAATCAGTTTCATCCTTGGAGTTGGGGCTTGTGGGCACACAGGTCTAGCCCAAAAAGATGGGTCTGTGGGGTTGGTCACAATATCCCAAGCTACTTCCTTCACTGTTTTTTGTTGGTAAGAGATTGTGTAAGGTGGCAGGATTGTGTTGTCCCTAGACATAAAAGAGGCTGGGACACCACAGTCTCAGCCATAAAACTCCAATAATGGTGAAAAATACTCTTAAGAGCGTGCGTGACTTATGAAAAGCGTTACTTTCTCACTCATGTCAAAATGACTGTTTTAGAGGAAGTAAAACTGTCTTTATTGTCAGACATGTCGCCTATGTGAAAAAAAGTCCTGTGAATCCTCAAAAAAGCTGATGAGCCAAAACAGGTCCAAACTAGATCTAATAAATCAGCTTAGCAAATTTTCAGGAAATAAGATCAAAATATCAAAATCAAATGTTTCTATATATTAGTGATAATAAAAATTGAAAATCTAAAATACCACTTATGATAGCAAAACTAGGAAATATTTAGGTGTAAATTTTTTTTATTAAAAATTTTTATTTATTTATTTGGCAGACAGAGATCACAAGTAGGCAGAGAGGCAGGAGAGAGAGAGGGGGAAGCAGGCTCCCTGCTGAGCAGAGAGCCCGATGTGGGGCTCGATCCCAGGACCCTGGGATCATGACCTGAGCTGAAGGCAGAGGCTTAACCCACTGAGCCACCCAGGTGCCCCTTATTTAGGTGTAAATTTGACAAAAGATGTACAAGATGTTTACACTGAAAACTACAAAATACTGCAGAGAGACATTAAAGAAAACTTGAAGGAGAGGTATACCATGTTCAGGATCAAAAGACTCAGTGTTGCTAAGATATCAGTTCCCCCCAAATCTGTAAACTCAGTGCAATATCAATCAAAATCCCAGTAATTGTTTTTAAGTCGACAAACTGATCCTAAAACACAAGAAAATACAAAAGACATAAAATAGCCAAAACAACTTTGAAAAGCAGGAACAAAGCTGGAGGAATAGCATTATTTTATTCCACAGCATGAAACTAGTGTCAAGAGCCACAGATTAGAGGACGAGAATAGAAAAGGTAGAAACAGACCCACAGAAAATCAGAAACTGATTTTCAACAAAGGTTCAGTGGAAAAAGAATAATCCTTCAACAGATAGTGCTAGAATTATTGAACATTAGTATGTAAAAAAATGAACTGTGACCAATGACTCAAATCATACAAAAATTAACTCAAAATGAGCCATAACCCAAAACATAAAACCTAAATTAAGAAAGCTTAGGAGGAAAATCTTTGGACTTTGGATCAGGCAGAAATTTCTTAGATACCAATATAACTATTTGCTATATTCCATAGATCATACTTCAGTATGGCATGAACAAATCATTAAATTCTTTTTTATTTTTCATTAAATTCTTAAATTGGACTTAATTACAATGGAAAAGTCCTGTTTTTTTCAAAGACACTATTAAAAGAATGGAAAGACAAGCCATAGGCTGGGAGGAAATATTTGCAAATCATAGATCTGATAAAGGACTTCTCTCCAGGCTACATATATTAGTCATTAAGGAAATGCAAATTAAAACCACAATGAGATACCACTACCCGCCTATTAAAAAAGCTAAAATTAAAAAGACTGACCATGCCCTGTGTTGGTGAGGATGTGGAGAAACTGGAACTCTCATACATTGCTGGTGGAAAATGTAAAGTGATCCAACTACTTTGGAAAGGAGATCAGCAAAAAACTAACTGCACACCTGCCACCTACCCTCCTCTCCTGGGTATTTACCCCAGAGAAACAAGCGTGTAAATCCATACAAAGACTGTAATGTTCCCAACCACTTTATTTGTTTTGGCCGCAAACTGGAAAGAGCCCAAATGTCCAACAACAGGAGAACGAATGAGCAACGGTGATGTGTCCACGCAAATTTCGAGCCTGACCAAATTCTACAGTGGAACTATGTGCCGTTTACCAGATTAGAGTTTGGAAGAAAATAATTAACAATTAAGTGCAATACAGAATCCTAGATGGGATTCTGGAAAGAAAAAGAACATTTGTGTAAAAACTGGTGAGATCCAAATAAGGTCTGTGGTTTAGTTAATAATAGGGTGCTGATGTTAGTTTCTTGGTTTTGAATATTCCACTGTGGTTATGTGGAAAATGCTAATGTTAGTGGGAGCTGGGTGAGGGGAGTACGGGAACTCTATTTGGTCATTGCAACTTTTCTGTAAGTTTAAAATTAATTCAAAATAAAAAGTGAAGAAAAATATACATAATAAAACCTTTTTAAAAGATTGCTTTACCTTTGGGGCACCTGAGTGGCTCAGTGGGTTAAGCATCCGACTCCTGATTTCAGCTCAGGTCTTGATCTCAGGGTCATGGAATTGAGCCCCATGTCAGGCTCTGCGCTGGGCGTGGAACCTGCTTAAGATTCTCTCTCTTTCCATCTCCTTCTGCCCCTCTCCATCCCCTGCCTGCAGGCATGCACACATGTGCTCTCTCTCTCTCTCTCAATCTCTCTCTCTCTCTCTCTCGCTCTCTCTCAAAAAAAAAAAAAAAAGAAAGAAAGAAAAAGATTGCTTAACCTTATAGAATAAATAATTTTTTCAAATACATTTGCGAGCTGTCCCATTACTAACAATCACTGTCAGCATAGGGCAGGTTAGCAGTTTTGGAATGCTTGCCTTTTTGGAAGAGAAACCTGTGTGACTTTAAATGAGGCAATTCCTTTAAGTCCTTTGTCTTGAGATACCCATGTACTCCTCTGAGTTACAAAAGTCACGCAGGCTAAGAAGGTGCGCCCAGCCATAACGGAGTGGAAGGTTCTCCGGCTGCCATGGAAGGCTTCCTTTCTAGGGAAGGTTGGAAGTGCCACAGGAATGAACGCCCCCCCAGGAGCTGTCCTCAATCTGACCAGTGGCGTTAGCCAACTCGCTCCTTGCAGGACACAACTCTGACGTGTATGTTTTACTCTGGCTTTGAGAGTTTCTCCCACACGATTCAATTCCCGCGGCCCACAGTGGTAACCCAGTGACAGCACACACTTTCTTGGCTGTCCCCTTTTCCTCCACCTACTGTTTTGTTTTCTTCACCACCCAAATGAACAGCTTGCGCTCCAGTCCTCGTCTCAGGGTCTGCTTCTGACCCAGACCAACGCAAGCACTAACTAATGTATTTTTCCAGCATCCCACTGTGTCACCTTGCCAGACCGCTGGCTTGGGCATCTCACTTCGGAGACTACTGCTTTCCTCCTGTCTGTCCAGCTCCTTACACACCTGCAAGACAGCCCCGTCCAGCCCAGGGCGGCCATGCCTGCAGAAGGACCCTAGGGACGACTCCCAGCTGAAATCCGGTTTCCCTGTGACCTTTGCCCTTTTGCCTGGGCAGGGCTATAAGAGACAGAGAGCTGAGGTTTGTTAGCTGGGCTCTACTGGCCTCTGGGGAAGGGGGACAGGAAGTCAGGGCTCTTAGCTTTGCCCTCCTTGAACCAAAGTGCAAACCCTGTTTGCTCTATGTCGGACTAAAAACTTGGGAGAAAGAGAGGTCCACAGCAGGGGAAAGGTTTGCCCACCTTCAATTCCAGTTCCAACTCTTGCAGCAGTCCGCAAGAGACTGGGGTAAGCCCTCTGACACGTACATCTTATAAAAGTCACCTCAGGACCTGACATCTCCCTGGTTGCTTAGGAGGGTAGCAGTTTCTTCCAGTTGAATATGAAGTCCCAGCAACTGGCCCTGAACAGGGCAAAAACTGACTTTCCTAAGCCATGTCACCAGACCTGGGACTCCAGCCCCATCCTGCAACCTGGATCTCAGGTGACATAACAATGAGTGGCCATCTCCCGTGGGCAGTCTCGTTGCTGCCAGGTAGCTGGTCGTCTAACACCCCCGCACGATCAAGCCCAGCTGGCTTTTTGCAAGAGAAAACAGGCTCAGAGAAGGGACGAGTTTCCCCAGGTTGCACAGCACGTTCGCTTTAGCTAGCAGAGTTCACAGGAGGAGGCTTTTCTTGGCTGTGTTAGGCTCTCTGTAACCGAGGGTGATGGTTTGGACCATCAGGAATCCTATCCAGTGCCTTATACCTCGAGTTCACAGTGACCCCAGGCACAGCAGCCAGGCCAGTGAGAGGGGAAGCCCCTCCTGTTCAGAGCTCACATCCTGAATCCTTGTAATAACGGGCTCCTCACTGCCTGCCCTGGGCCTCAGCGAGCCTGGCCCTTGCTGTTGGCCCTGCCATGGTCCTTTGGCCCTAAAGGGTTTCACCTTCTCTAACTTGACCATTGGCACTCCATCCCCGAACCCACCAGGAGCCCACCCAGAGTTACCTCATTGGGACAAAAAGATGCTCCTATCACCCAGGAAATTCCAAGGGATTTAGGAGCTCAGAGTCGGGAATCAGGGTGAAAGGCCAAATATTAGAATCAAAGTTGTTCCTCGTGCTCTTATCACTTAGGAGATTACAAAGGATTTTTTTCAGGAGCCCTGTGCCAAGA